AGAGAGAGAGAGAGAGAGAGAGAGAGAGAGAGAGAGAGAGAGAGAGAGAACAGTTTCCATGTAAGTGGGTGATGAATTTTTAACTGACATCCTCAACACCTACTGAGTGTGGTTACATAACAGGAGAGAGTCTTTGGGAGCTGCAGACTAGTAAAACAGGTACTTTACATGTAGAAGAACAAAGAAAATGAAGAGTATTTCATTGGAGAATTACACCAAGCATTTGAGGAACAATTAAACCAATTTAAAGTATTACTGATACCAAAAATCAGGAAGACAAATTAAAAATCATACACCAATGTTCCCTGTGAATATGAGCTCAAAAAATCATAACAAAATATTAGAAAAACATATTTAGAAATATGTTAAAATCATAATCTATCCTGATCAAGTTGGAGTTATAAATGCAAGGTGGTCCAACATTGGAATATCAATCAAGGTAAGACATATCATGACTATCTTAGCAAACATGACTATCTCAGCAGGTTTAGAAAAAGCATTTGATAAATTTTAACATCCAATTATGATTTTTTAAAAAAACTCTCTATGTTAGCCGGGTGTAGTGGCACATGCCTGTAATCCTAGAGCTTGGGAGGCTAAGCCAGGAGGAACACTAGGAGTTCAAGGCCAGCCTGGGCTACAAAGTGAGAATCTATCTCAAAAACAAAACAGAACAAAGCAAAATAAAACAGAACAAAACAAAACAATCTCTAAGTAAAGCAGGAATTGAAAGGAATTTCATAAAGTTGATGAAGGACATGTATAAAGCACCTGCCTCTAATATCCTATTTAAGATAAGAGGCTAAACACTGGTCCCCTATGATCAGAGACAAGGAAAAGATGCTTTCCTCACTATTCTTTTTCTGGAAGCACAAATCAGTGTAGTAATGCAGGAAAAGGAAATAAAAGGCCTATAGACCAAAGAGAGGGAAAAACTGCTCTCCATTCACAGACAGTACGATTGTCTCTATAGAAAATTTCTGAGCATCAACCTAATAAAAGCTCCTAGAACTAAGGAACTAAGATCACCAGGCATACAATCAAAGTGTAAAATCAATTATATTTCCAAACACTAGCAATAAATAATTGGAAATTAAAGCTTAAAAATCAGTGTCACTTAAAGTAGCAATGAAAACATGAAATAGATATGAACTTAACAATGTACAAGATCTGCATTCTGAAAACTACAAAGCACTGGTGAAAGAAATGAAAGCCTGGATGCATGGAGTTGGAAGACAACAGTGAAGGGGATCATTTTCCCCAGTGATCTGCACAGCAAACACAATCTCAATCAAAACTGCAGCTGGATAGGTTTTAGGAATTGAAAAGATGATTTTAAAGTTTCTAAGGAAAGGTAAAGTAATCATAATATCCAAAACAATTTTGAAAAACATTGGACAAACTTCATTACATAGTTTAAGGACTATAAACCTATGGTAATTAAAACAGGGTGTTACCCAGTTTGTAATAGCTAAAACTTGGAAACAGCCCAAATGCCCATCAACTGGAGACTGGATAAAGAAGATGTGTTTTTTTAATAAAATGGAGTACTACTCAGCCATAAAGAATGAGAAATTAGAGACATTTATAGCTAAGTGGATGCACATTGAGGCGATACTCTTAAGTGAAATAAATAGGACACACACGTAT